ATTCAGATTTCACTGCTGTGGAAATGAGGAGCAACTGCGAGAGGCGCAAGAAGTGTGCGACAGCTTGCACAAGCATCGAGGTGCACATTGTGATATGGGATTTTCTCCAGATTTGCTCCATAGCATTCTTGCTATGAACCTCCAAAATGCTTTAGCACCCCCCATGTTTTGGCAGGGTCCTTAATCGGGGTGCGGCGTTGTTTGAGGGAACTTCCATGAACTTCCATTATTTGTACGGCCTGCGCTTGCAGCGAGGGGCTTTCTTACTTAATCAACTCAACTTCCCTGAAATCGAACTGAGAATTTGCCTACAAGGTTGATGATTTTTTTTTAGAAAAAAAATTCTGTTACCCAGAATCCTAATATTCAGCTGAAATTATAGTTTCTACTGGGGTTCCAAATCCCTTAGAGTTGCCATGACGTCCGAAACTGGAGCAGCTAAGAGTGTTGAACGCCACTTTGCTTGGTTTTTGCTGCATGCAACTCCCCTAAAAAGTTGGAGCCCATGTACCCCCTTTTTAAGGAGCACCGTTGTGCCTTTTCCCTACCTTCTGTGGGTTGGTTATAAGGGGCTTCAAATAGGGTGTGGGGTTTAGGGTTTAGGGTTTATTGTTTAGAGGGTGTGCCTATCTATTTGTTTACCTACATGGTAGTTTCCCAAAAGTAGGGGTCCCCTTTTGGGGGTCCCCATGATAAGGACTTCTAGTATCTGGCAGTCTATATGGGGTTCCCCTTATTTCCCATACCATATTCTTCATCCTAAACCCTTAAGCCTGGCGGAGCGTGCCTTTGCCAAGGCAGGCATCTGCTGAGCTTGCCAGAAAGTTGGCCACCTACCTGCCTGGTAAGAAATCTTGTTTAAGGCATAAGGTTGGAAGTTTGGGGTTTCAGGAATTTAGAGTTTAGTGGTCTTTCTGGGTTCAACCTTCTAGGGAGGTATTCAACTATAGGGATCTCAGGATATGTCGGGAGCTTGGGGGGGGGAGAAAGGTTTGTTTCTAATTGTTTTGTGTTGCCTCTGTCTGTAGGCTCCAGGGAATGCGAAGCCCAATGCAAACCAACAAGTTAGACTTAGAAAGAGCCCTGCATGCTGCCTGTAACCCCCAAATACCGTTTCATGGTTGTTACTCACAACTTTCAAAGGGCTCAGGAGGTGGGATGAAGGAAGGTGGGGTATGGGAAAAAAAGCCCCAATAAAGTAGAGTATATACTAAGCATCCTTTAAACCCACCTACCTTCATCCCACCTTTTGAGGCCCCCTGATACTTAGGGCACTTACTGCTGAGCTGCAGGTGATTGGGGTTCGAGGTAAACCCTCATATGAGCTATTCTCCAAACTCCTTAAAGGGGGGGTGATTTGGGGATACTATGGTACCCAATACTGGAGAATCAAATGGAAAAGAAAATGGAAAATGAAATGGAAACTAGGGTTATGTAGGGGTTATATTGGGGATATAGTATTTTGTTTGGGGATACTATGGTACCCAGTATAGAGTAAGATTCTATCCTCCTTTGGTGGGTATAGTATTTTATATAAGGAATATAATCTTACTAGTTTCAACCACCAAGAAAACGCTACTCATATAACCCCCTCTGAGCCTTAAGCCCTACGCAGTGTTTTTCACATGGACAACCGAGGTTAGCGCAGAAGCAGCACAGGTTCAACGCCTGGGCTTCCAAATTGCTTCCATGACGCACCAAGTTAGGAGGGGGGGTTCTCAGGGTTCTAGAGGGGTTGTTTTGAAAATAGCCACCAGGAAAGGGAAACCAAGCACATGCTCTTTGCAGGGATATCCCGTGAAGTCCCCAGCATTGGGGCTGTAGCCTTAAACCCTGCAGCCTTCATTTCGCGGCTAGACAGGTCGACTGTGGCTTGCAGAAATTTGGTGTTTGTTGAAGGTCATGTGGCGCAAAGGCATGTTCGGCGTGCAATATTGGAACGTGCTTCATGGTTTGTTTTATAATCACGATGCGGTGCCCAGAGTTGACATTAAGGCAGAAGAGTTTGACAACTGCAGAGGAGGCTGTTTGCACCCTAGACCCGAAACCTCAAACCCTAAAACCTAAACCTCAAGCCCTAAATCCGAAGCCCTGAACCCTAAACCGCGAGGGCCCGGAGAGAGACCCCTCACTAGGAATACCCGCCTACAAATCTGCATCGCACCTCTACAGCTCTAATATTCCTCTGATCTGAGTTGTTGTTAAGGAATTTAGAATAAATTACGATAAGGGGTATGTGTACATATATGTGTGTGTGTGTATATGGTAATCAATATGGTTCGCCCATTATAGTAGCTTAAACTCAGTTCCTTCACAGCAACCCAGTAATTGCTGCTTGAAGGTCCGCGCAGGTGCTTTGCCTCAAATGTCGAGCGGTTTAGGGTTTAGGGTTTAGGGTTTATATATGCCAGATCCACCCTATCGGGTTTCCAAAGGAAAGCGATGGATTCGAAAGCTTCCCGAATACTCCCTAAAGCAGCAGTCCTATGAAATCTCCATGTACGTATTCGCCCTGTCACCCCTAATCGTCTAGTCCGCTTTCCCTAGACCACGCTGAGATCTAGCCAAGTGAAAACCCTATACTCCAGTGCAAACAAGTACTAGAGAACACCGGTCTTTGCTAATGTACCCCAGTTTCCATTAGGGTCCCTACATAAATATCCCTATACAGCCCAAGGCATCCACCGTTTACCCTATATACTGCCATTTTGGCCATAGTCTAAGTCTAAACTCCTAGTATCCCCCTTCATATCCCCTATAGTCGTCCCCTATATAAGCCCCCTTTCAGGAGCTTAGACCCCAAACCCTAAACCCTGTTAATCACCCCGATATACCCCTTTGAGGGTGGGAGCGGGGTATATGCCCCAAACCCTAAATCCTAAACCCTAAATAGTATAACCCCCTCTAAGGAGCTTAGACTATATGACTCAAATGGCCACGTGCTGCAAGGCACTCGCTTGGCTTCAAGCAATGCTTGTAAAGACCAAGAGGCCAACGGGGCCAGACTGGACGTGCGCCAAGGCCATCTGGGTTTTAGGGATGAGGGGTTAGGGTTTAGGGCAAATTGGCTACGCCTCAACTTGCTGGTTAGTAGGCTTAAGGGTTTCGAGTTTAGGGTTGAGTTATTATTGTTACTACCATTATTATCATTACTATTACTACCATTTGTACCATTACTACTACCATTATTACCGTTATTACCATTACTACCATTAGGGTTGGAGATCAGTTTCAGGGTGCAGTGTAGGGCTTCGGGATGCATGAAGAATCACGTGGAACTGGAAGTGGAAGCTTTGGTCGTACCCTAAACCCTAACCACAAAATCCCTAAAGTTTACGCCTAAGGGCCTACTGGTGGTCAGTGGGGCGTGGCGAACAGAAAAGAAGATGGAAACTTCCACAAGTAGTCTTCAAGGGTTTTTGGTTTAGCGTTATCCCTTGGAATGAAGTGGTAGCCTTCAAAAGGTAGCCACCAACTTGTAGCATTGCAAAATGAAGGGGTAACCCAAAAGGAAGGATTCAATTTCTGGTTCAAGTTGACACCTCTGGATTTTGTCCTCGGCTCATGTTGGAGATATAACTTGAGGCCGCGTGGTAACTTGTTAGGGCATGAGTATTACCTCAGAAAAGGCTCCTATGTTTCCTTTGTTGTCATCCTGAAGCACCCAAAGATATAAAACAGCTCTGGCACAAGCATTTCAAAGTAATTCGATCCCTCTCCCTAAGGGTCCAAGTACCCAATAATCATATACTGACCCCAAACCGGTACTATAACTGCTAGTACCCAAATTTCAAGTACCCAATGATTGGGTACATGGACCCTTAGGATCTTTGAGAGTTTGTCAGGGCATCTTGTAGATTTTTGATACGGGGTAGGTACTTCGGATAGCCCGCAGACAGAGTAATAGTGGTATACTAAGAAGATGAGAGGGCCCTAATGTAATCCCCATTATCCCTTATACCCACTATTGCTGGGTGGGGGTTCCACCTAATTAACCCTAAACCCTAAAGCCTAAACCCTAGACCCCCGAAAAGACATTGGTAATTATTTTGGCCGCCGCATTTCTCTGAGGCATGGCTGTTGGAGCTCTCGCGGTCAGAGCAATGGAGCCTTCCTAGCACACCGGGCTACGTGCGCAGGAAATGCGTTGCTTAGCTGTCCAGCAGCTGACGATTCATTTTTTAGGATGAAAAAGCCCGCTAGAGTTCTAAGGACTTAAGAGTTTTAGTGTGAAAAGCCCGTAGAAGTAGCAGGCATAAGCTAAACTTGGAAAAGTCCTTGAATACTTAGGGACTCATGGAACGTAGTACCTACTTACAGCCAAGCTTACAACCCTACTTATGGGAAGGGGGTTCGGGGGTCAAACTCTACCGCTTCGGTTTTTTTTTGTGTGTCAGATTTATCTGCCTCCTCTACGTCGCTGACTTTCCGGAAGCGTAAGAAGGGTAACTCCTTCCAGGCCAGGTAGGGGTAGGATAAGTAGATGTATAAGCACACTTATATGCAAGTAAAGCCTAAACGCTAAACCCAAGTCCCATGAACCTACAAGTACTGGACTAAGGCAGAGGTAATCACTGCCATAGCTCGCGTAGATTGGCCAGGCGCATGGCCTGAACTTTCTACGGCCTTGTACCTGGGCGAATTGAGTTTAGGATTCAGGGTTTAGGGCTACGGGTTTAAGGTTTGGGGTTGTTGACCTCACTCCAAAAGGCGGTTCATACAGGAACTTGCCTCAAACTAATTTGAGGTTCTGAATTCTTTAAAATGGCCAGCGAAAGCTTATCGGTGCAGCGGGTTAGCCTGAACTGTAGTGAGCAGCACAACACCTCATATGCATATTTCCAGAAGTAGGGGTCCCCCTTAAACGCCACCAAGTTAGATCATCCTCATCAGAAGGACTCCCAAAAATCCCCGAAGCCCTAAGTAAATAAAACGCACACCCTGGCCTTAAACCCTAAACCAAGTTGCAAGGTCAGAACCCTTGAAGCGGGACGCCTAAGGCTCACATCCCGGTCCGTGGGCCCTGCACTGGTAAGTCTCGGCGTGTGGTCGCAGCTGGCTGAGGCAGTGGTGGAGGACAGAAAGGACATGTCCGCGCAACGGCGTCGAGAAGTGGCGGCTGGAATGACGGATCTGTTCGAAAATCCCAAGGGTGCCCCTGCTATAGTTGAGGCCATCCAATCTATACTGCAGCGTTTCGGGGGAGAGGGGCAGGTGGTCGGGGAAGTCCTCACTCTTTGTCGGGCGCTGCCCGACGCCGTCCCTGTAAAACTCCTGCTAGGGCATCAATTCGACAAGATTGTGCAGATCGGTTTTCAGTCAAGCAATTGCAAAGAGCTCGCGGTGACGGTTCTGGCGGCATGGGCAGAACAGCTCTATGGTGCCCAGAAGTCATCCGGCAAGGGATCTAGCGGAAAGGGTGATTCTACATCGCCGGCAACACATGATATCTGCCGTCTAACAGCAATGATTGCCCGACTCCTGGGAGACTGCAAATGCGACGTTCAGAAGCTGCAAAGTTATGGCTACCATCAGCAGGTGGGCCGTGTACTCTGTGACCTGTGCAGCTTCAATGCAGCCAGTTTCGGCCAAGTCTTACCTCCGGCTGAAACTGGGACACTGTGGAATGCTCTGCTTTCCCTTCTTCGCTACCCATCCGCCAATTTGCATGTGGATGCGCTGTCAAGCATCTGGGTTGCTGTTAGGACACTTAACAGTAAGTTACTCTAATACGGAAACCCTATCATTTACCAGATACCCATATCATGGTAAGTTAAACCCTAAACCCCATGTACCTATATTATGGCGACTTAGTTTAAGTTCCTAAAGAGATCTAAAGAGCAACCCAGGCATGGTCTCCCTGGCGCGCCATGCACCTGGCATCACAACCAGTATCGCTGGTACATCGAGGCCTCCACTGGAGACCCTTCTGGGTGTTTCTGGATTGCTGTGGGGTTTAGGATTTAGGGTTAAGGTACCATGAAAAACAGATGTCAAAGACCTTACAATAAGTCACGATAACATAACACAACATGAGCATTCGTGGTTATACATTTTTTATAATGGGGGAGTCTCATAGCGGTTCCTAGGTCACCGCTAGGAGCTTAGACGATGGCTCAGTTAAGTTGCCATAGATAAGATGAACATCTTCGCCGGGCACAACCCAGGTTTTACATGTGGTGTCTCTGAAGACGGATTCTATCCTTAGTGCGGCTGCTTCAGCTGAGCGCAGCGCTTGGTTGCTCCGGTGCTTGGGTCCTGCCTCAAGTCAGAGGACCTGGGCCATTATGGCAAACTTGCCTTCTTCAGTTTTTCTGCGAGTAAAACCTAAGAAGGTATGTAAAGTCATGATTTTTGGAGACGGTGTTTATGTGCGACTGTGGCAGGGGCCTGAGTGAGAGGGCGCATTAAATCTGGCCATGTGGAATGAGCATGAATTGTCTACTCAAACAATCTGGGCAAATTAACATGACCTCACCCCGCCTCACCCAAAACGGTGGTTTGCACGGAAAAACAGTCCAAAATCTGCGCTGTACTGTATTGAACCTATTGCACAATGGCCAGTTACAATACCGTGCAAAACATCATATACCCCCAATCTGGGCCATTGAGGACCCAAAAGGTTCTCGTATCTGCGCATTCCGTACCTGGCCCCCCAAAACCTATAAACATTCATGGCATTGGCATTGAGAACAGTTTCCTAACCAAGCCCCCCCCCTCCCCCCTCCAATCTAAATAAAACAAAGACCAGCGTAGGTCCGGGGGTACCATAGATATATATATATCTCTCTCTCTCTCTCTATAGATTCATGCGTGGTGTGTGTATATACATGTGTATATATATATAATGTATATATATATATAAATGTTTTGGGGCGGGAAGTGCTCAACCCTACGAGCCACACATCAACACCCTATGAGCCCTAGCTAGTTTTATCGTTTCCATTTTCTGCTCTACTCCGTCAAGCCGAAGTAAACTTCAGACCGGAACTCTTAAATAAACCAAAACCCTGTGAAACACTTCAATTCCAAGCCTCAAGCCCTGAACACCTTAGGCCCCAAGGGTACAAGTATTTAGCAATCAAATGGGTGGTTCCCAAAATTAGTATCCCATTATGGTACCCCTAAATATCAGGTGCCGTAATCTAATCTACAACCAAAAGGATCCCCTCATCTTGAGAACAACCCATATGAGCTATAGTCT